GTCTCGCGTCTGGTTCCTGGGCGCTAATCTACAATGGGGCATTATTGATTACCCAAAAATGCAGCTGCGCCGGGATGTACTTTTCTCCTTCGCTGATGTCTTGGGTAAGTTTTCTGTTACAAATATTCTTCTCTCTCGTCTTAAGGGTTCTATTCACAGTGTATATTGGCGGCCTGGTTGGCTTCTTTCTAGGCTGCAGCGCATTGAGCTTTACGGAAATAATCTACTATTTTACGGCACGTTTGGTGCGTCGCATGTTTTGCAATTAAACTCGAGAAAACACAAACAGATACATCATTTGTAAGACATTCTATTACAAATAAAACTGCTTTTATTTACCCAACATAAAAATGCGCCTAATCAATAATAAAATACATTTGCGCAAAGGCTGCAAATATCATACTATATAAGCCAAGGCATATGACTTCAACCCTCCTTATGACTGGGATGCTGACCCGAACGTTCATTGTCTACGTAAGGATGCTCCACGCCTGGCATTTCAATGAACTGTGGATGTCTGGCGTCGTCTGTAGTCTGCGATTTTCCATTCTTTCAATGAAATTCGTCTACAAATTAGGCGTTTTTTTCTCTTTTTGCGAACCTTGCTGTTTTCTGTTTGGTGAACTGTTCGACAACAACAACAACAACAACAACCAAGTCGCATTTTGTATTTAATATTTGTTGTTTGAATTCTTTGTTTTGTATTGGGTCATGTCGGGTCACTCGATGCGTTCATAGCAAATGCCCACTCTCAAGCAATTTAATACGGCGGACAACTCAATAAACTGCCCTCGACCACATTCCAAACACTTGTCCCGACTTTTGTTGTTACATATTTTGCACATATGAGTGAACTCTAACTGTAACTGTCAACAAAGCGATTGCTAGTTAACTTTTCCTATGAATTTCTGCCATGTCATCGATAATGAATTTGAGATGAGCAAAGGACTCCGGTATTTAGGTCACTTTGGGGCCAGCGGCAAGTACAAGTAAGAGCAAGCAAAGTAAGAGCAACTTTAACCACCCTTCAGCCGAACAGCATAGAACACAATAGAAATTCTATATTTCAACAGCATGCAAAAGAATCGGCAAATACAACAGATTTCAATATTTTTTTTTTTCATTCATTCAAAAGAAAAAAAAATCAAAACGTACTTTGCCCTTTCACTCCCTTTTCGCAACAATCAAAGCTCAAAGGAATTACCAGCGTGCAAGGCTCTTTTGCACCTTGGCAGAACTTCCGTAGCATCAATGGCAACCGCAATCCATGTGGGGATTGTCGCCACCGACGCATGCATTATACATACGTATATTTATGAATAGGGGGATGCCCGTTCATTGCCCAATGCGGGCGAGGGGTGTGAACATACATAATTCCGGACACTGCAGACTTTGAAGTTGCCATTGCAAAAGCGCCAAAGGGTAGCATCATTCTTTTCCGCATAAATTTTGGAATTATTGAAATTTATTGTTGAATTGCGTGCTCAAAAGGGGGGTAGGGAAAGTAGAGTGTGTGCCTGTGGTTAATGCGGCCATTCAAGAGGGTGCAATACGTCACTCTGCTGATGACCTTTATTGTTTGATAATGGCATATTACGGCAGAATATATATTAAAAAAATGCAAATTTTATAGAACGTTTGATTTTGGGGATTACATTTGAAATGCCATTTCACCAGTCACAAAGCGCCACCTATGGTCTGCACAAATATTAATCACTCACATAATGTTATGTTAGCTGAGCCATGCAAAATTATAATACCCTCTACAAGGGTATTAAAAACGCTAAAAAGGTTACTAAACTAAAATTTTAAATCCCACAGCGTTTAATATCCTTAGACGTTCGACTTTGGAATTAAATTTGAAATTGTCAATTCACCAGTCGCAAAGCGCCATCTATGGTCTACAGAAACATTATTCACTCACCATTTCAAAAATGGTGGCAACAAAACCTATTGATATTAACAGTATCGTTGTTTGAAAATTGTTTTTGTACTTTTGCCTCTTGTGGTCACCCTAAGTGAAAGGGTCTCTGTTATGGCTGTTTCTGTTACTTTTGATTCGGTTAGTCAACTCGTAGCCTTCTAGATAGACTTTTTTAAATAAATCATTATTTTAGCCATTCTTTAACAAACTGCATTAGCCAAATATAATTTTAATATTTTGCAAAATAACGGCAGTTCATCCGAAACGAATTTCTTGTGCGCTGTTATTAACATTTCAGGAAATGTTAAATTTTCTGGGTGCCCACATCACAAATTATACATCAGTGCTGCCCACCTTGGAAAACAACTGGGCAAGAAGAAGAAGAAGACGAAGAGCAGAGCAAAAGTGAGCAAGGTGGAAGTTTCCACAAACAAAAATAGCTAACAAATTCGCACAGAATGCACAAAAGTGCGCCACCTTGGCATTGTATTTGCAATTTAGCTGCCACGACAGCAGCTACAGAAAAAGCACCACAAAGTAGCGGCGCTGGCAGCAGAGCAACAAAGCTAGTGATAAGGTCTGCAATGTACGCAGCATCATTATCAACTCAACCACCATCAACCCCTGCCTCCCACAGTATTCAATGGCTGCTGCTACTGGTGATGCTTGCACTGCAATCACCGGCAGCATCATCGACTCACATCAGCGGCGAGTTTCACACAGCCGACTTTTTTCAGTTCCTCATCAAGTTCGGCTTTCAGAAAGCCGATCCTCCCACGCCGCGTAGTGCCGTATCCTATGGCTATATATACGGCAATGTGACGTCGCCGGACACATACAGTGCGCCCGTTACGCTCGTTGTCCTGGATAAGTCGACATTTGTGGACTTTTATAGCAATCGGAACTATCGCAACCGGGAACACGCCTGCTCGCGCATGTTCTCACGCCTGCAGCATATCGTCTACGATCCGGACTGCAATCCCCAGGGCAAGCGTGACTTTCTGCGCCGTGTACCTTGCTCCCGAGGCCAGCTGTGCATCGACGAAGATGCGCCATCAAATGTCATAGCCGGACACCAGTTTACCTACGTCATAGACTTGGAGGCGGAGCCGCGGTAAGTAGCCGAACAGTAGTTGTTATCAATTGGCTGATAAGCTGCCGCCAGCTATACGGCCATTACAGACATGTCCGTGATTTCACTGATTTCGCTGTTCGACATTAAAGCAATGGGAGACTTGGCTCTTCGAATTCGCCATTCCATATGTTCTTTTGTTTATATTTCGCCATAAAGCACAGACAATGTTTCTTTTTTGTGAAATGTTATTGTAGCGCTAAATTACGGATATAATTATAATCCCAGCTCAATCCTATTGTAAGCGTTTCTAATACCACCTTCTGTTTGTTTCTATAGCTTCTGGTATGTGGCGTTGGTGGCCTGTTATCGCAATCGCAGTACCTGCGAGTGGCATGCCCACGAGAATCTGGCCAAGCTGAACAATTACAGCAGCAGCCTGCTGACGACCCTGCAGTATGACATAAACTTGGTGAATGTGCATCCGAATGATTCGGCCGCACATCCGCTGACCTTTCAGTACCCGTACGATCAGCAGAATCTGCTGGAAATGTATCTCATATTTATGCTGGTCTACATTGTACTGCTGCCGATGCAAATCTATGCGGTGCGTCTTCAAAAGCATCCAGTGACCAGACTTTTTACGATCAGCCTGCTCAGTGAGTTTGTGAGCCTTGCGCTCATCACAGCGCATCTAATTCGATATGCAGCCAACGGTGTCGGTGAGCCCAACATGCAGGCTGCCGGCGATGTTTTGGACATCCTGAGTCGCACCACATTCATGCTGATTCTCTTGCTGCTGGCCAAGGGCTGGGCGGTGACGCGACAACAAATTAGCCGCACCGGCTGGATCATATTGATGTCAATTTGGGTGCCATACTGTGCGTTCCATGTATTTCTGTACATATGGGATCGGGTAAGTTAAGGGGAAAGGAACAAATATGTTTACAAAATATTGCATATACGTATAAATATTCCTAAAAGCACATGTTAAACATATTAAGTTTTTAATTTTTTTAGACGGAAGTGGATATTATATCGGATAGCGATGAATACCAGAGCTGGCCAGGCTGGATTGTTTTAATACTGCGGTATGTAAATCCACAATTTTATTTTTTATCAAATTAATTTCCACTTCTTTGGAACAGCACTTCGTTTATGATGTGGTTTCTGTACGAGCTACGTAATACAATGAAGTATGAGCACTCCAGCAAGAAGCTGGACTTTCTGTTGCATTTGGGTGCATCCAGTTTGGTGTGGTTCATCTACTTGCCCATTGTTGCTATTGTGGCATTACAGGTGAGTCCCATGTGGCGCTACAAGCTGCTGCAGGGCATTACAAACTCGGCCGACTGCATGGCCTACTGTGTAATGACCGGACTACTATGGCCCAATCGTGCCGGGCAGTATCTCCTGCTGGCGGGCACCAAGTATGCGGGTAAGTCAATCCGTTAGATTTGTCCTTAAAGTGAACTTCTCTTATATCTGTTATTCTTCTTTCGTGCTAGGCATGGATGAGCTGGACGAGTTTAACGAGGCGCCACATATTGTACGAGAACGCGAGCGTCGTCGTAATTCGCCGCCGGATGATATATCTATTGGCACAAGCAGCGGCGGAGGTGGTCGTGGCATGGCACTGTCCACTAGCATACCGCATTCGCTCAATGGCGACTTGCTAGAGGGGGAGGATTTGAATGCCGAGTTACTTACTGATCTGAACAAAAATAGTCATATTGTGGCATAGTTCGTCAGAGATTGAGGATAATCAACGGCAGCAACGGGTTAATTACTAAGCTTTGTAGTCAAATGTGCTAAATGAAGAAACGCAAGAATGTTAATCATACTACACCCATACCTATATATATATTTGAATATATATATAAATATTATATATTTACTTACATATATAAATAGCTATAATCCATATAGTTTTTAGCCGCCTACAACGAAGTTAGTGAGAGTGCAAAGTGCAGCAAAGATTGTTGTGTGATTTATCTAATATGCTTAAATTTATAATTAGTTTCGTTCGCAAGATAAGCAGGCTTAGAATACGCATAGATTGACAAAAAAAAAACGCTTGAGAATTATTTCATTGTGGTACCATAAGTTTACATTTTTAATTATAAATTATATAAGCGCTATATGCATGACCGACACCATCATTCGAAGCAAAACAAAAAGTATTTTGATAAGAACAAAAATGCAGAGGCATTAGTGAAGTTAACGTTAAGAAAACAAAAAACTCCGAAAAAAAATTTGAAATGAAGCGAAATAAATCAATCATTTTTCGATTTACTGTTTTTCATGTTTCTCCGTTGTTAAATTATTTTAAACATTCTGCAAAAAGTGGTATTTTTAATTTGATACTCTTATCAAAAACCTTAATGATAATAGCTGTGCGTAACATTATTATATTGTGCATATGCTTCGTTTGATGGCTTGCCATCATTTTCACCGTCGGAGGAAAAGTCGTTCTCATTGGTGTCACAGTCGTTGTTTATATCGGAATCACAGTCCTCGTTCTCATTGGAGTCACAGTCATCGTTCTCATTGGAGTCACATTCGTCGTTCTCATTGGAGTCACAGCCGTCATTTGCATTAGAGTAACCGTCATCGTTCTCATTGGCGTCATCGTCGTCGTTCTCATTGGAGTCACAGTCATCGTTCTCATTGGAGTCACACTCATCATTCTCATTAGAGTCACATTCATCATTCTCATTGGAGTCACATTCATCATTCTCATTGGAGTCACAGTCTTCATTCTCATTGATGTTACAGTAGATGTTTTCATCGTCATCACCCTCGTTCTCGTTTAAGTCACAATCGTCGTTTTCATTAGAGTCGCAGTCGTAGCTCTCATTGTTCTCATTTTCAACACAGTTGTTTTCATTATCATCACAGCCGTTGTTCTCATTGCCATTACAGTCGTTCTCATCGGCGTCGGAGTCATAGTCGCTCAACACCTCCCACTCCATGCCGCCCCCAGAATCAGCTAGGACCTGCATTATGTTTCCATCCACCTGTTGCTGGTCGGCCTTTGGCAAGCAAGGGTAATATGTTGGTATTGCCTTTTGATGCTGCTCCAAACAGTGGCCACCATTGTATCCTCCTATATCGTTGTCGATTCCTGCGAAATCTGTGTTTGTTTTTGTATAATGGAAATTCGAATTTATATTATCCAGCTCTCCCGCATTGTGCTCCTCGCCGTGCATTTCTTCGTCTTGCTGTTCCTCTTCGTGCTTCAGGCTGGCCTTATTTTGCGCTTCAATGGCCTTCCTTATAAGAACTATCGTCTGGGGGCTAAAGTACATCATATTGTATTTACGGTCGGCGTTGCTGGCGGTGCGGTATTCGGCCTGCTCAATAATATGCATTATATCGAATATGGCTTCCGGCATTAGTCCACTGAACTGTTGCCGTATGGCATGACGTTCCTTATCGCTGACGCGATTCGGATGCCATTCGGTTTCCTCCTCTTCGGAGTCGGGCAGATTCGTTTGCGAGCACAGACCTTCGCTGATTATCTGAGCGTTGACAAATATTGGCAGAAGGATCTCACTGTAGGATTGCTTATTCTTCTTATGCTCACCCAGACGACATTTGACCACGTCCTGCTTTAGGCAAATGAGCGTATCATCGAGGGCATCGATTATGGTGTCTTCCCAGTCAAAGAGGGGCTTTTGGCATGGCCACATATTGCTCCCGGCCTCATCACGTACATTCTCATTATCTCCGCTCTCCTCATCTTCTAATAGCCGGTTGGCATCATGTTCATAGGACTCCAGTATGCGCTTTCCATGATCGTGGCAGTGCTTGAGAATGTTGTCCAGGTGGGTATCAAAATCCTCCAGCGTTTTGATGTTACGCTTGTGCATCTCCTCAGCAAAGGGCAACCACTTTTCGCGGAACAATTCCTGGCCATCCTGTTCCATTTGATCAGTGTGTTCCTGTAGCTTTTTTAACCTATATCGACATTGTCGCTTCATTATTGACTTTTCGGCTTTTTCCTTGTCGTAGGGTACCTCCTCTCCCGCTGGAAGTTTCTCGAGCACCTTAAGAAAGAGCTTTTCTAACTTCTGCCCATCGCGATAGACAGTCGCCTCGGGCATGTTAAATGTAAAGCAGTTTCTTATTACCAGCCTGACATCGTTGATAAGTTCATGGACACTTCGATAGTATCTATTCTCCACACGCATGATAATGGTGCCCACGTCCATGGGGTGCTCAATTATGGTGTAGTAGGTGGGCACATTAAGGGCCTTTGTGTCAACTGGCTCCATGAAAGGCAGAGCAAACTCCTGTTGACACAACTCTTCCAGCAGATACTTATTCATATGATGTATCTTGTTGGTATATTCGCCAGCCATGCCCGGCGGCGGCACTACCTCGGGCTGCACACGAGTCGGAATCTTAAGTCTAATCGATAGTCCTTTGGGATTGGGCTGTAAAATTGAAACCGAATTAAAGTATGCACAAATCGCAATGCCATGACGTCTCCGAGCCCACACTTACCATCACTAAGTAGCTCCAGATAGTTTTTTAAACGCAACAGACTCTATTTTCAACTGACAAATGATGAATTATGTGACAAGTAAAACAAGGATAGTATGTTCTACTATCTATGCTGGAATGCGAATATTTTTATAAGGTACTTTTTATTTTTATTTTTAAAAAATTATTCTTAAATACACGTGTATTCATCGCGATCTGATATTATATACTGCATATTTGTAAATTATGCCTTTTAGTTGTATTCAATTCATATTTGGGCTAATATCAACACAAACTCGCAAAATATTTGTTTATTGCACACATTTCCTATTTGCAGTTGCATTTTACAGTGCTGCTAAAACTGTCTCGGCGGCAATTCTGATAAATATACACACATATATAATATATTGTATAGGTATATAAGTATACTTTAGCAATTTTTATACACATTGACGGCTTTTAAATTGGCACTATGCGCTAAGTATTCAAACAATTTGTAAATAAGTCGACGTTGACATGGGTATAGCTTTATAGATGGTTTCAGAGCCCTTAAATGCCCTGGCCAAAAATTCATATTTGTATATAAGACATATATATATATATATTAACTAGTTTACAAATAATAATAACAAATAATAAATAAATTATTGAAAATTGAATTCCTAATAACAACAGTGCAAACGTTTCACTATTTGGCTCTTTTTTCTAATTACATAAAATCAAATATTTTACCGAATTATAATTAAACAACAATTGGGTGTATTAACATAAAAATTAAAAACAAATACTTTAGGATATTGTACTTTACAAGAATGCAGAAAAACAAATGTACATAATATAAGATTTGGCTAAAAGCTGCGTATTTAGTTTACACAAAAATATTTTTTAAAATATGCTGTGCTTACACGAGCTCCAATTATTAGATTCTAGGAGAGTAACAAGCACATATAGATAGATTAAAATTTGATATAGTTTGTCGTTCCAGTACACGTAAAAGCGATTAACGTGGGAACTCAATTTATAAATTCTCCGCGTCGTGTAAACACAGGCTGAGATGGCAAAGTAAGTTACAATTAGAACGGATGGCATTAAATTGGCTTTATGGTTGCGTTGCAGTTACAGCGCCCATATAAGATCTGGACATTATCAGTGAGTTTTTGGCTAAGCATGCGAGTATTTTTTGTTGCTATGTATGCATATGGTTATTCCGTAATCTACATGAGCATGTAGGAATGATCACGTTCCAGACGTGACTTGGCGCGCATCTGAATGTTTCCAATGGGATCCGAGGGCGGCGGTATGCCATTGATCTGATGTGTGGGCTCCTTGTAGAAGAACTCTGTGCGTCCGCACTTGTAGCCATAGAAGACCGAGTCTTGTGAGCTGTAAAAATAATCAATAAATTTAATATTCCCATGATGTGTAAGCTAAGTATTTACCGAAGTATCAAATCGGTAAGCTGTCCGCTCTGCTGCTTCAAATCGTGATGCATGCTCTCAAGTGTGTTGAGCTCCAGCGGATTCCATGGCCCGTTGCGCTGCAGTGCATCCCACTTGTCATCGATGCACATGAAACTGTAGTTGCCGCCGTCGCGCTTATCGCCTTCCACATTGACGTTTAGGGTTTGATTCAATTGAGATTCCATGTGCGGAAATTTGGCCACGCAAATCTCGAACTGCCAACCCAAAAGAAAAAGATTTAAAAAGAATTTGCATTAAGAGGATCAACATGATAGCTCACCATCTTCTGGACAACGGCCTGCTGAAAGCAGGTGCCCTCCTCCATGAGCAACAGCAGCGTCATGTTTTGTTGCCCGCACACAAACAGCTCTGTTCGCTGCCGTCCATCCGTAGGAGCAGACGCAGCTGCTGGCTGACCATTGGAGAATGCTGCCAGCGCATCAACTGCATCCTCATATTTAAGCGAGCTGCGACGCGGAAATCCCTTGCTGCTAGCCAGGGGGGTCTGTATCTCAATTGGCGTGGCCTCGTTGAGCGCGAGCACAGAGAGCTTAGCCATTAGCGGCGTTAGCGGAACTCCGCTCCCTCCATTACGACGCTGAGTTACTGTTGGATCCACAATGCCAGGCTCACCAGCGGACTTGAGGGGCAGACACATGGCACGCTTATCTGACGGCGTCTTTGCAGTAATGTTTAGATTACGATCTGCTGCTTCAGACGAGGCTGCCTGCTGTCGCATGTGCTCGTCCAACTTCTGTATTTCCCGGTTGAACTCCTGAAACTCGGAAACGAGCGCCGCCAGCTCTGCATCCTGTCCGGCCTGCTCGCTGGCGACGCCCCACAGCTTACGATATTGTTCAAGAAATTGTTGGAACAGGCTTCGCGAAATCTGCTGCCCGTTGGCATTAAAAACCGGATAGGTGGGATCGCTAATGGTGCGCGAGCTTCTACGCTCATCGCTCCCTATGAAGTCGGGAGACACATCGATGCTGCCGTCGGCGTCGGCGTTGCCATTGCCATTACGATTTACATCCGTCTTGTAGCCGTGTGTGATGTGGCCCAGCTTCTTTGAAATGGCACGCAATGCGTCCTGTAAGTCAGCGGAGGACTTGCGACGCGTCAGCTGCTTGTTCGGATTGCTGATGAAGTTCGAAAAGAACTTTTCCACATCCAGCTTGAGCGAGTTACGACGTGACGACGACGCCGTCGGTGTTGCTACCTTGCCATTCGAGTTGTGCGCATCGGCATCCACATCTTCGGGATTGGCGCATATAGACATAACGCTAGCCACCGGCAACACCTTATTCTCTGTCATAGGCGTATTACAGACGCTGGTGCGTCCAATAAATTCGGGATACGAATCTGTCTCATCAAAATTGATCGAAGCAATGCCCGACTCAGGTAGCTCCTTGCTGTGCAAGTTCTTTAGGCGCAACGGCAGATGGGTAGGCCGCATAGACTTTGGTCTCGCCACCGGCAGGACCACCGGGCCGGTCGAGGCCGGGGCCTGCTCCTCCTCGGGTATATGAGTGAAGATTAGCGACTTGTCCCGCTTCAACTTACGCTTTGCATACTGAAATGGCAGCGCGCTTTGGCCCAGCTGCGCTGTTGTCGTCTGCATATTCTGGGCACGCTGCGCCTCTGCTACCAACTTGAGATAGTGCTGCTGCTCCACATACACCACCAACATTTGCACACCATTTGGTATGTGAAACTGTTGCATGTTCAGCTGTTCAGCCGTGGTGCGTATATGACGCGGATCTGTCAGCACCAGCTGCTTGGTCACCACATCTCCCAGCTGGGAGGCAACCACTCTGAAATGGAAGCAGGCAGTCACTAGTAGCTTTTTTAATGTGCATGGTCCAATCTACTCACTTGTTGTGGTAGAGAATAGCGCCGCCGAGAATGCCCCTTGTTTGCTGACAGCTTTGCAGCGTCTGTATGGCCTCCAGATAAATGTGACTGGCGGTCTGTGGTCGAGCGTGGTGGAGCGTAAACGATTTGAGCATTACTATAATCCAGTTTAATGAACTCACCTTGGGCATGCGCAGCTTGGGCACATTCTGGAATGTGTTGCCATTGCGTTGAAGCATGGGCAGATATGTCTCAAATATGTGATATAGTTTCTCGTTGAGATTCCGGCTGTGCTGTTGGGAGGTCTGTGCATACTGATCGTGCAGCGACTGCAAATCACGATGAAAGAACCTCAAGAGGGAGCTCAACAGATTCGCCCGATGCTCCAGCAGCTCATCGGCAATGTTGCGATCGGTGCCCACGGCCTATGGAAACAAACAAAACGAATCACAATAACTATGACGGGGTCTTTGGAGCAGCTTACTCACCAAAGTGAAGCGACCGAACTCCTTAAGCACAAATTTGCCATTCTGCAGGGCCAGGATGCGCGGCTTGAAGAAACAATCCTTGAGGAAATACGATGTCCCCATTAGTTGACCACATAGAGCCACTTTCTGTGTGTCCGATACCCAGCTGGGATGAAAGTACAGCACCGCGGCAATGGGATCATCTGCCTCGTCCTTTAGACACTCCGTGTCGTAGACAAACACAATCATCGTCTCCCTGTGGATGCATAACAATTGAGAACATTATAACATATTTATTACAGTTGGGGAGTCACTGCGAATGGCACCTGTCAAGCATACGACGGCGCAGTTGCTGCAGCTTTTGCTGTTGCTGCTGCTGCTGCTGCCAGCGTTTTTGATTGGGCTTCCGCCACTCTTTAAACATTTCGGCAAAACAAAAGAGATAGACTAAGGTAGAGTGGGAGAGAGTCCAGTTTCGCAATTGTTGGATAATTCAAGTCGAAAGCTGCATCGTGGCGGCTTATCGCCTACCGCACGACGTGGATGATAAGTCAGTCAACACGGCAGTGCCACAGAAACTCAACTGAATTGCCAGCTGGCTGGCTGATAAATATGATATGAGGTGCCAAACAGCCGCGCAGCATTGTTTGAAATTTTGCTCACGCTTGTCACTACCAGCCGAACAGGTGGGGGCGGGGGGGGGAGCTAAGGTGACGCGAGGTGAAATCGCCGTCTATTACGCCGTTGATTTACGCTCTAACTAATATCAGTTTGCAAGTCAATTCAAGCGTCAATAATTTGAATGCCACTAAACAAGTTATCGATAGCAACGATATCCCAAATTCAAGTTCAATCGTCGAAACAGTATCGTTATTGATTTTAGTGCGAGCGAGAGCGAGAGAGAGAATGCTATTGAAGCTCAAGTGCATTTAATATTCGTCTTCGGCACGCGGCTTATTTCTTTATGTTTAATTATAAAAGCATACTTTTGGGGATATATAATAATAACGTGTACTAAATTAAGGGCAAACAAAAAAAAATACAATTTTAGCTCTTATCGATGAAAATTATGCTGTAATATTTTAAATTTTGCGCGTTAGACGCCGTTCAAAACTGTAAAAAAAGCCAAAGATTTCTGTAAAAATGATTATTTAATTTTTTTAGCCTTTCATTATTTCTTATGAAATTCCTTTTGTGCACAAAACTTTTCAACTTCTCACGAGTACATCAAAATATAAGCTATGAAAAGCTTATTACGTATTAATAAACTATATTTCATCAAACATCTTTGGCGATTATCTCAGAATTTCCGTTCTTATAGATATACACCAAAAATCCATTCGATATTCTCAACGTGTGGGAGATGTATTATACTCCAAACAACTAACCATAAGGAAATATTTTAACCGCCCCTCTGTTGCAGTTGCCTCTTCTCCTCCTGTCCTTCACTAAGCAACAGAAAATGCAGATTTCATGAAAATCCCTTCCTCAACAACTTTTGCGAACTATCCAACGTCAGCCCAAAAAAAAACCCTCTTATTTACCCAGTCCTCAAACTGGATACCTTTAAGATATAAGTTTAAGCAGATCTGTGATATCACAATTGGCACAAATATGTATGATTGTAACGTCTATAGTCCATATCCATTAGCACACGAGTATATGCCATTTATTAAGTAAAACGCTATATAAATCAAATTTAACCGGGAAGGGACTTTAGAAGTCCAGCACCTAAAGCCGGAGCTGCCGGAAATCCTCGTCCGATAGTGTAGCTATACTTGGCCACATATCCATTGGGCCCCGCCTCATAGGTAACCACCAGAGTTCCGCCTTGGTCTTCAAAATTCTGAATGAGCGTACCTTTTACCTCCGGGACACCGGGTGGAACCAGTTTCCCAGTCTCCTCGCGCAAGGTTTTGCCATCCGGATGTCGAATGCTGTGCGAGCAAGTCTATTGATTAGGTCAAGCTAATAGAATGAGCCTTGGATAAAAGCCTACCTCAACATATATTGACCATTGGGGCTTCCCAGTTGAGAGTCACTTTCGCCAGCGATGCGCGGGACGAGTGTCGCGGGTGCCGCAAGCATCAAATTGACAAAGAGTACAATAATTGACTTTGCATAAAAACAATGTACACATATTAGTTGCGATTCAGCAAGGACATCCTTAACTCACCGCTCCGAGCATTATCTAGTTATCAAGTCTAGTCAATAGCAACTGCCATTCTGAGTCGCAGCTTCTTATATTTAAAAGATCTGCGAAAACGTGATTCCAATCGCTGAAAGCTATGAGAACCAACACTGTCTCACACGTTAAACAAAAACCTAACAAGAAGATAGACGTTCTATCCTCAACCCGCCGAAGTTTGAATACTCTTGTAGAAATATGGATTGAAAATGGGTTTACACAAAAGCTTTATGTTCAATCCAGATATACTAGGAGTGTGAGTTTGGTCTTATTATCCGACCGGCTCTTCTTTCAAAGCTATATAATACAGTAGTCCGGTGTTGATAAGACTTTGTTTACATTAAATGAAGAGTTTAGTCAAGATAACTTGAAAGAAAACCACGATTTTAATACTATAACTTATTTTTTTATATGACAGCTATATGATATAGAGCGTCAATCCAGCCAAATCTGATAAATGTACTGCTTGCAACAGAAAGACGAATCTGTGCAAGGTTTTATAACGAAACACTAGTTTGATCCTGATCCAAAAACATAAAAGACTTCTCCTTCTATGGGATACACATCTCGTGACAAAATTATAATACCCTCGAAAAGCTACAACAATAAATAACAATATAAAAGAGCGCCAAGCATTTGTTTAATTATTTACCTTGTGTTTCTGTCAGTAATTACTACGGATTAAACTCTTGTATATACTAGATGTACATATGTATATATAAATATTTATGCCTTTCACCTGTTGAATGCGGGTAAAAAGGTGATTTTGCAAATGCATGTAACAGGCAAAAAATAGTTTAACTATGCGACCTCATCATTCATATATATTCAGCCTCAACTGCCAACACGATCTAGCCATGTCCGTAAACAACGTTATCAACACCAAAGTTATTCAAGAATGAATTTCCCATAGTGCGGGGAAACGGGAAAATAAAGAAAAGCCGCAGCACAAAGCGCGCAGCTTGCGGTGTGCGTGATCGTCTACTATTTGTTTGTGTCGTGCGAGCAAGTCAATTGACTAGGTCAAGAGCATAAATAGGGCCTTGGATAGAGGCGTATCTAAACATATATTGATAATTGTGTTCAGGTGTTACAAGTACCAAATACGGAAAAGGTACCACAATCCGCTCAACACATATGCAAAGCAGATGTATTTACTGCAGATTCAGCAAAGACAACATGGTTAGGAAGTCTTTTAGACGGCAGTTTATTGATGACTGTTAGCACTTTGGTCAAGGATCATCGAACTGTTCTATTACCTCTCCTTTGGAGCCTCGTGAAGCTTTTAAATGTGAGGAAATTTTGGTCTGCGGATGGAATTCCGAGTTGTGGCAGATTACGCTGGGACTGCGCGTAAATTTAGTGTGGTGCAAGAGGTTGGGACTGAGTTATAAATCCAGCTATAATAGCGATTGTCGCCTTTACAAAAAATTATTAGATAGACTCATTAAGAAATAACAGGACTGGACTTTTTCCCCGCAAGTCAAGTAATTGGAATCATTCTAGATCATAGACTTGAATAGCAGCACCGAATTGAGGCAGTATGTCGGGTAGCTGCGACCAACTAAGATAGAGCAATAGAGCAATAAGAATAGAGCATTATGGAAATTCCAGCCGCAACAGTGGAAATTTCGCGGATAATTTGCAATATTTTTTTTAAAAAAAGAACTTTCTGAAAATTTATTTGATACGTTTTTCGCAAAATGCACTGCTCTTGGATGGAAAATGCGGGTTTATTTTTTGCCTTTAAAACTTCTTGCTGCGAATAGACTCGGAGTTCAATAAAGACAAAGCATGCCGCGAGCAAGCCCGCTATACATAATACCCGCTAGTATAAGGGCCAATTATAACTGTGCTCCTTTAATAAATATAGCATACTTTAAGGGCTACGCAGCTATAAAGCGTACTATTTTTAAGGCTAAATGAGAATATATGCAACAGTTAAAAGGAATAGAAAAATTGGTGCTTAAATAAATTAATGTTAAAAAGCTTTTTAGTCATTTGTTAACTTTTTCTCCACATATTTTGGCTAATTCTTTTGAGCAACAAAAGAATACAACAAAATCCAAATACCGCCACCAAGAAACCGGTTACCTGTTATGCCTAATATAAACAAAAATAAATAATATCAGCTAAGTTATAGAACAATATATACGAAAATAATTTTAAAAAGAAAGTTTATTACGATACAATTCGGAGTTTTAGGTCATATTAAGATAAGTTTAATTTAATAACTTGAGCACTTTTCGCAAAAACTTTTGTTTTTGTTAGAAAAATACTTGCAGAGCTATAAGCTTTAAGAAAAAGTGCGCCTCTTTTTGCAGTTAGGCGAGCAAAATTTTCGAAAGCTCTATTAGTTTCATCAAAATATGTTGATAAACAAAAGAGTTGTGCTTAATTTTCGATGCATTATATAGTGGTCCGTACTGGGTACAAAGCTGAGACTTGTTTGCATAGAAACTGACTCGCGGAAAGGGGAATATTTATAGAGTCTATAGAATACAAACAATTGTTACATACATAGCCCTAGCAGTGCCCATGTCTAGGGAACATATTCCATTTATTAAATAAAAAGTCATTTAAACCAAATTAGCCGACTGACGACTTTAGAACTGCCGGACTTAGAAAAATTGCGAATACGGGCTGTTCCGGCTTGCCTGCGCTATTATAGCTATACTTGGCCACATAACCATTGGGCCCCGCCTCATAGGTGACCACCAGAGTGCCGCCTTGGTCTTCAAAGTTCTGATTGAGCGTACCTTTTACCTGCGGGACACCGGGTGGAATCTGTCGCACAGTCTCCTCGCGCCAGCTCTTGCCATCCGGATGTCGAATGCTGTGCGGGCAAGTCTATTGATTAGGTCAAGCTTATAGAATGAGCCTTGGATAAAAGCCTACCTCAACATATATTGACCATTGGGGCTTCCCAGTTGAGCAAGCACCAAATTGGCAAATAGTACCACAATCCACTTGGGATATATGCAATGGACACATATATATATATTAATCGCGATTCAGCCAAGACATCCCGATAACTCACCGCTCTGAGCATCGTCTACCTGTGGGCCTTTGGGTTTGCACATGCCTCGATAGCAACTGCCGTTCTCGGTCGTAGCTTCTTTTATTTAAAATACCAAACGCTGTGAAAACGAGTTTCGAATCGCTAACAAAAACAAAGTGAACAGATCTCAAATTAAAACCTAATGACAGCTACGAACCCTCCCAGCGAAGTGTTATTAATTCGGATAAAGCTATGAAAGCGCGCGGCAATAACTGAATTACTCATCTTGTCAAATTTAACCCGACCTCAAGTTGTATTCGGTAAAAGCTATTAATTAATTGCTTACAAGCAGTTTTTAGATATCTAACCCTGGGAATGCTGCCGGATTTATTCAATAATTTCAAGTACATAATTATCTTCGGCATATCTGAGAGTAGTTATTATTGATGTCATACATACATTAGTGTACATCGATATTTTTGTACCTAACCAACTATTAGCTTCAGCAGAACTGGGGGTAGATACTGGATATTTCTGTTGTTGGCGCCTTGAAATACATAACTGGCTACATAACCATTGCGGCCTGCTTCGTAGCTGACAAACAATCGGTCATATGTGGGATAGAAAATGTCCTGATGACCCTTTACCTGCAGTTCCCCAGGTGAGATCTCCTGCACGGTTTCCTTGCGTGTTGCCTGTTCTTCATAAATTCTATGCAATGGACAATTGACAATTTACAATTGTTTAATTGTTAATTATTAATGAGCTTGTAGAGAAACCTACTCAAGATTATAGCTCCTATCGAGCGGCGCCACAAAGGCCAAGCTGGCAAACAGAAAGATAACCGACTGGAAAAATGATATTAGTACAGTTCGAAAAAGGAGATGCTTAGCAAACTCACAGCTCCGAACATGATCTCTTGCTACGTGTGAATCAATTTAAGCCTCGAAAGCAACTAACTTTTTATGACAGCTTTGATTGCATACTACCACTAACCAAAAAACATATGTTTTTTGGTTAGTGATACTACAGAATATGATTAGTATTAATCCAGTATTTTCGGTTGGCACATGGTCACACGTACCAAAACTGGACTTTAGTGATGCCAAGGTACACTGCACAAAATTGTGCTTTTAAGATCTTTAGAATATTATAGTTTTCTGTTTTTTTCCAAATAAGAAAGATTTTAAAAACATCAAGAATATACTTTTGTATAGCTGCTAACATTATTTGTGTACTTAAATTAAAATGGTACTGTTTTATCAGAGTTGGTACATTTTCCTGTAATCTTTGGTAGAATATAGTTTTATCAAGTACCAATCCGAGACCCGAACGTATAGTACTAACTTTCCCATTCGTACTTTTCGGATATGATATATTGCCATATGTAAATTATTTAAAAACTGTCGCTTAAACGAGTTCTTTCTTACATATGTATATACTATAAAAATGACATACATGCACTTATGTTTGCTTATCAGTAACTTATTGTGGGTTTCTTCTTGGAACAATGTTTTTTGTTTGTATGCGTGTTGAGGCTGCATACCCTCACATACACCGACGGCATACAAACAAACACTCACACAAAAGCAAATCACTTGCATACACATACCCACGCACGAAAAATTCACCGCAGTTTTTCGTATTTACTTCTACATATAATTCAATGCACTTACTTGGTAGTCATTTTGGTAATGTTGTTTTTGTGTTTGTGCTTAAGTGTATTGCACTTTATTAATTTAAAAGATTCATTTTAATGTAAATAACTTTACACTTCTCATTATCGGTGTTTTTCTGCGGGGGTGGTGGGCTGGAATTATCGATATATTGCTTAACATTTGGAAGACCATACATTTAATAAAATATTTAGGTATGCCAACTCGGTATAATATCGCTATCGGTGTTAATGCTATCGAAGCATGTGCCATCACTATACGTATACCAAACAACCCAAAGCAAAATGGCCGCCGTAGTGTAAAGAGTATACTTTTGGAAGTTCGTGTTTTTCACTTAATTTAATAATTATTTGAACATTTTTTATGAATTTTGGTGAGTTCAGTGACGGCAAGTAATAACACTGCATGCGTACGCAAAAAAATGCATACGCAATTTGTGAATTTTATGTGAGTAATGAGTGTTTTAAATCAATGCTATTGTGGCTGCTGTTGCGTTTACTACATAAAAAAGGACGGCTACAAGCCAACTCAAGCGAACCAGCCCCCGCACCGCGTCGTGTTGCGTTTACCCACACCTAGAGTCAAGCAACAAACAGGTTTTTATTGTGTACGGACGTGTGTTTTTCTCTCTTTTAATTTATGCACATACAACAACATCAACAGCACACATGTATACATACATCTAAACAAACCAAACATGAAGCAGCATAAGCTTAAAAACGAGTAATACAAGAAAATACATAAATTGTAAGAGTGCGCGAGTGTGTGTGTGCGTGTGCATGTGTGCAGCGCTGTAAACAGCGCAGCAAGTAGTAGTCGAAGGCGAAGCAGCAGCTAGTAAAGTGCTAAAGTGGCGGCCAAGCAGCCAATTCGAACACAAGAGTCAGAAAGAGAGAGAAAGAGAAATAAAAAAATATAAAAAAAAAAACAAACTAAACGACTCGCTACACAGCTACAGGTGAATTTGTGGACTTGTTGCCCCTCACTCTGAGCAGTGGTCGAGGCGGTGGCCCAAGTGTGAGTGTCTGGCTAAGAACTGTAAAAGGCAGCAGCACAAAACGAGTTAGCTGCCGTTGCTGCGAGTAGAAAATCTAATAAATTAGCAGCATAATCAATTCGCGTCGTTCTACAAACTTAGCTCGCTCTATAAGCAGAAGCTTAAACGCATATCAACAGCTAACGGTATAGCTGCATAGCTGCTCAAATTTAAATGCAAACAACTGTGGCTGCAGCAACGCCCAAAGTAAAAATATTAAAAAAAAATAACCAAAAATTCGACTAAGGCTTTGAACGCCTCAGAGTCAAAGTGTCAAAAGCGGCAGCAGCCCAAAGTGGAACGCGCAGTGTGTCCCACTTAACCTCAAAAATACAACTCCCCCTCCCTCCCACATGCACATACACAGATGAATGTGTGCGTGTGTGAATGCAACTGAGTAAATATGTGTGTTTGTTGTTTGATTTAAACGCGTTTATAAAGTTTACAAATAGAAACTCCCACGTTCGTTTTACGCGCCATTAGCAATACTATAATTATTGTTTTTTGTGAATGAAAAACTTGTTGCGCCATGTATGTATTAAAAGCTCTATTTTGTTATTCAATTTATTAAGACCTCATTTGTTGTTACACTTTGAATGGCAGGCGCTTCTGAATCATCTACGCTTCCGCTGAAGCCAAACTGAGCGTCTGTTGATTAAACTGGTTTAACTCCGATACATAATATACGTATGTATATGTGTGTGTGTGTGTGTGCGTGTGTGTGTACTGAATCATGTAGGAGTTGGACACAAATCGGAAGTAAAGCGATAGTTGGTAGCAGTGCACGCGATTGTCCCCTGGATAAGTGAAGGGAAAAGCAAAGTGAAGACTCGAAAGTGCATTGAACTGAACTAATGATAAGAAGGCAAAACTAAAGCAAGATGTTGCAGTCGGGTGTAACCGACTGCGTAATACTCGTTAATAAATCAACAACAGTTTAAATCAGGCTTCCCACCAAACTTATTAAGAAACATTGATTTTTCGATAGGCCTTTAGTGGAGCTCTTTACCTATAAAAGGTATTTCTTAACACTTTGTCTGACGCGGGCAGATGTAAGTATGCGAATGTATGTATATATACCATAGGTTTTCAATCCCTCAGATTTTATTCAAAACCAATAGACTCTTCACTTTGTGAACGAGTATAAAAACAATAAAATAAAAGGCATACTACAATAAACAACAAATGAAGCACAGCATTAAATCAAATATACATATACACAGATAATGAACATATACTATGCATATATATATATGCATCTATACAATAAATACGATTATATTAACAAAAATGCAAGCGAAACAACAATGTTGGTCTTTGCTGAAGAGTATTTTAATGAGACTCATAACTCAAGTCAACTTAAAAATCAATAAAAGAAATATAAAAAACTTAATGAGCTTATGTATAAACAACACTATTCGAATAAACGTAAATGCTGTCCCAATAATCATGTGTGTTTGTCCGTCCGTTGTATAGAGAGCTTTAGAATTATAAATGTACTTTAAAACGAATGAAAATTGATAATCATGCAGGTTTAAAGGGTACCTCCTAGTCTGGCCGTTTCGAGTAGAACACAAACGTGTACTTCCTAGTCGTGGACTTAAAAATAATCTCCAACTTAAGTTTTTGTTTATCATATTAGCCTAAGCTGTGATGCTACTTGCTTAAATCAGTTAATGGGAATTACAAAATCGTACACGAAATATGCAAAAGCGTGGAGATTGCAAAACAGCTTTAGAACCAGAAACAGAAGCATACAAAATCCCCAGCCAGTAAGTCTACGGGCGCTGCTGAAGCACTTTATAAGGCGAAGTCACAGGTGCCACCACCTGTTGTTGACTAACTGAACGCCCACTTGCCAAACTGGTTGCATGGCAGTGGTCCGGAGATCAGGTTTCTAGCGTGGACAGCCAATATCTATGTATGTGCATATGTACTTTTATACAGTATATATCTAATATCCATACGCAGAGATCAATTTCTTTTGGAGCACGTACAATTAGCAGGCGGCGACCAAGTTATCTATTAACACGCTCACACGCACGCTTCACACAGCCCACATCCGACTGAGCAAATGCAAACGCCCGAAACAAACGACAAACGTGACATACATTTCACCGTTATCTTGATCAAGCTGCTTATCTTTGCTGCAGCGCAGACACAGATACAGACACCGCAGCCCATCTATGGGTGCTTATCAGCTAAGGCAAGCTGAAAGTGTGAAGCAGCGAGTCGGGCAAGCGGCAGCTGCCCAGACAGACATGCCGACCAATAGATAGATGATTCTAATAGGTAACTCAAGCTCGCGTTCGGGCTCATTAATTAGTGGCCCAGAGATACACAGCCAGCATTTGTAACTGGTCTGTCTGTCAAAAGCGGAACGCACTTCCTGGCATTGAGCTAAATGCGGCTTTTGAAACTAAAGACCTAAACAAAAAAAAAAACAAAAACAAATGATAATACTTATTCATATATGAACGATGTGTGCATAGCGAGGGCAGCTCAACAAAATAATACGATTGGAAACCTGATATTCACCTGTTTTGTATACAATTAAAAACAAGAAGAAAGCTTTCTTCTAAAGAAGACCAACTAAGCCTTGTAATTTATTCAGCTATTTTCATCATGGCTTTGCGATAGCCAAGTCTTTTTTAGCCTATGTGATAAGCCGTATTAGGTCAAGTTAATATAGCTAACAGTTTTTCAACAGCTTATGCTCTTAGATGGTTAGATGTTATTTCTTTTGATCTCTGCTATCTAAAAAACATCAAACTCTAATTAAATCGTTCTTACTGATTATATTGTCACAAATTTAAATAGAAAGTTTTTGTAGTTTGTACTCGAACTAATCCCATTAAGTATATATATCCGTGATCAGTATCAGAATCTGCGGCCAAGTCGATAAAGTCTTGTCTGTTATTTAACCAAATAATCTGCCTGTTTTCGAGCTATTCTAATAAAACTTGGCATGAGTTGAATCGCTATAACATTATAAACAACATAGGAAAAATCAATCAAGAAAAATGTTTGTTTTTTCATAATAATTGGACCAAACTCACTAATTCTAATCCTCGTATGATCTTAACAAACGAATGAAATCTCAATCAAACGATAAATGATAATATGTATGCATCAGATAGGCAACGAAACAGACAGATTAAGTTTCATATAGACGTAAGATCATCTGTTATACTTATGTCTGTAAGGGTATATAAACTTCGGTATTTCGAAGACAACTATGCTCACAATATATTTGTATGCGAAAACTTAATTTGAAGCTTGGAAACATTGTGATATAGTATTCCAATTTGTTTGTAGCCAGCTAGAAAAGCCCAAATGTTGGTCAAGTGTTGTAGATAAACGCACTTAGTTTGGCCGGATTCGAAACTAGGCAACTACTTTCTTATGGAATAGACACACAAACTTCCCTTGGTCATCAATTTTTATATAAATTATAGTTAAATTAGGTAGTTTCAGTACATTTAAAACCACCCCCAAAAATAATTTAATACAATTCTTAAGGTTAATTGTGGACCC